AGCTCGTTGAAGGTTCAAAAGAAGAAGACACATTAAAAACCAAAACTATGAAAATTTATGGCCCATGCAGGTCTCGAACCTGCGACCTTCGCGTTATTAGCACGACGCTCTAACCAACTGAGCTAATAGGCCAGTTGGGAAATCAGCTACAAATAAAAACTATATTATAAATTTAGTTTTCCCAAATCTCCTGAATTAATATTTAATTTCAGCATGTTTAATACTTGGATATTTGGTTCAGATTTGTTCCGTATTGGGCTTGTTCCATGAATCCATTGAGGTTTCATTCTTACTTAATAAAACAAATATTGCTATTACCATATTGAAGTAAAAATTTCAATAAATGTATTCATTTTGCATTATTAGTAACCCGAATCAGTTGAATTAATCCCTTGTAATTATTGTTTTATAATTACATTAGTAGACGTATGTACCAGTCGTACTGTTATTTATTTATTTTTGTTAACCATATAAATTATTTCATATAGATATCGGAAATTCTCAATTTAATCCATATATATATATATATATGGGGAATGCTAATGTACTCCCATCTATATTTTAGTGGGAGTATATTAGCAACCTACACCAACTTTTTAGGACAAAAAAATCACTCATTTATTTTGATTTGGTTAATTCGTACAAAGGATATTATAGTAATTTAATTTAATTTTAAATGAAAACAAAATATTTTCATTTAAGATTAAATTAAATTTCTTCTCCAACTCATTTCTCTTTCTTATTAAATTCTTTCTCTAACTTATTTATCTCTTTCCTATTAAATTCATTCTTTAACTCATTTCTCTTTCATCTCTCATGATGTCTCCCTCCTCTCTCTGAACAAATAAAAATTTATTAATAGAAAAAATAAATGAATTGGAGAATGAAATTAATAAAAGAGAGAAGATATTTTTATTTTCATTTAAGATTAAATTAAATTATTATAATATCCTTTGTACGAATTAACCAAATCAAAATAAATGAGTGGTTTTTTTGTCCTAAAAAATTGGTGTAGGTTGCTAACATACTCCCATTAAAAAACAGGTGGGAGTATATTAGCATTCCCCATATATATATATATATATATATATAAACATTATGAATTTAATTTTTACTGTCAAACGTTAACAATTAACTCAATTGCATATTTTTTAATTTTAATTTAATCTTTATATATGTAATATATTCTTATTTTGACTCATACATACATGTATGAAATAAATTAATACCGTATAATGCATATAATGACTAAAATAAAAATGCATTACATTCATGAAAAGAATTAAGAATGTACGAGTTAATGACCAAAAAGAAAACTAAAGCAATAATGTTTACAAGTATAAAAACTAAATTAATGTATATAGAGTAAATACAAAAATCATGAGAAATAGAGATTAAATTACCTGAATAATCATGAGAAAACTAAATTAATTCTAACTGCACCAAAACATATGGTAAATGAGGTAGACAAACATCCGCATCGCAATCAAAAAGTCTCAGTTCTTAGAGAAACTTTAATGGTTCTTACGGAAGTAATTATGTCAGTGAAGCAAAGCTTTTTTTTTGGAAGCATCAACGATGCATTCAACTAATGTGGAGAACCGATTGATTCAAAAAAAATTATTTTAATTCATACATTCATGTATTATTTTTACCATGGTATTAGTGTGGGTACCTACCACCTTTGTTAGAAACTAGCTGATGAGATTTTTGAGATAAGCGTACCAAATTACTATAATATAAAAATTAAATATGAATTATAAAAAGATAAATCAAAATAATAATAAAAACTAAAATATAATTGTATGTAAAATTATTGGGATTGAGTTTCACCAATCTCACCTTTATGTTTTACTAAGATCATTTATATATGATTTCTATCATCCAATGTTATTGAGTTCATTAAGGTCATTTAAATATATAAAGAGTATTTTGATTTTTTTTACACAACTAAAACTTCTCTTTTTTTATTCTCTCACTTTCACCCCCAATAAATTTCCAACTTCTTTATTTAATTATTTATTTTCATTCAAGGATCCAAATTAAAATTCACTCAATATGAATGCATAGTTTAGTTTGATTCCAAATTATCAACAACTCACAAGTTTAAAATTTCAAAAATTCTCCAAATTTACCTAACCAACTAAACAATCCTAATAATCCAAATATTTAATATCCTACATCCCATTTCATTCATATCAATTTCATGAAATTAACCATTTCGGTTCTCAAGGGTCTTCAATGGATAGTAGTTGCCGACAATGTAATGAAAGAGTATAACACACCATCCAACTTTGCGCCACAGCCTCAAATTTCACCATTTAACGCCCAAATTGAAGGAGAAGAAGAAGCATCTAGAACACAACGAAGATCATGCTTCTCCACAAAAAGGAAGATGAATGTCTCGTCAACGCATGATTAAATGTTTTAAAGAATGCAATTGTAGGAACAAACCAACAAAGGGCAAATTTTTAGGTAAAAATTGTAGAAAATTACAATAATTATTGTAAACAACATTTGAAGCTGAAAGAAGTGTTACAACTAAAATATTGATGACAAAAAGATCAATGGTAATTGTCAAAAATTCTTAACAAGCTACAAACAAGTCTGTAAAAAAAAAAGTGATAGCTTTGAATCCGATGTCATGCAAGATGCCCATGCAATTTTGTTAAAAAAAAATTAGTGATTGTAGTATACTAGTTAGTATTTCGATTACAAAAAAAAAAAACTAGTTATTTTGTTTATTAAAAAAAATAAACTTGTAATAAACTAGTTATTTCAATTACAAAAAAAAAAGTCATTATATCATTTACAAAAAAAAAACAAAAACAAAACTAGTCTTTGTAACTCATTATATATATATATTGTTTACTTGTACAATGATTTTCACACATATCAATTGTACAAAAGTTGTAGCAAATTTTTATAAACTCTATAACTTTGCAATATTGCTTAAGTTGGACTTGAGTGATTCATCTCTCAAAGATGAACTTAGAAGATTTACTAATTGATGACTACAAAGAATAATATGAGACTGGTGATGAAAAGACAACAACAATAACAACAACCCATTACAAAAAGTTAATTAAAAGACAAGACAGGTATGATCGGTTATTCAATGTTTACTTCTTCAACAATGCAGTCTACACAAATGACCAATTTCAAAGAAGATTTAGAATGTGAAAGAATGTCTTCCTTCTCATTGTACAAGTCTTTGACAATGAAGATCAATATTTTAAGTCAAAAATTAATGCATTTGGAAGTATGAGCATTTCCCTATTTCAAAAATGCGTTGTTGATATTCGTATATTCACACATAAATCACCTGCTAATAATGTGAATGAGTATGTTTGAATTGGAAAAACCACAACTTTACAATACTTGAACAAATTTGTAAAGGATGTCTACAATATATTTGGATTTGAGTACTTCATAGAACCTAACAATAACATCAATACTTATTATAGGTGAGCAATGTTATTTTCCAATTATGTCAATGTGAAAAGGTCAATCTTATTATGGTAATAATGTCTCACCAATAATCGGGCATAAAGTCATGACGTCACAAGACTTATAAATTTGACATTTTGGAGTTTTGGGTTCAAATAGCAACAACATGCTTAATATCTCATGTCTTCAATGAAATTATGGGAGGAGAAACTCCAATAGTATAATTTGCGTAATTTGTGATGCTTAACAAATCTCATGACTTCATTAAAATTATGGAAGGAAAATTCCCCACATTATAATTCATGGTGAATAGAACCTAATTTAACAGGAGATACTATTTAGCCGGTGATATTTACACAAAATGGATGACTCTCGTGAAATCTATCCCAAAAACAATATATATAAAAAATTTGTTTGCTCAAGTAAAAAGAAAAGAAACGTGTATTGTATTTGAAATGCTTAATTTGCAATTGTATGTGACCCTCGTTGAAATATGGACAGAAGCACAGCCGTTCAAACATCTCGTGCAAGCGAACAAAAACTGTATTGCAAATCAGATATAATGGAAATTTATTTCAACTGACTAAAAAAATTAATTTGAAACTGTCCAATTTATTTCACATTAAAAGAAATGTCCGAATGTTGACAAATGGAGTGCTTCTGAAAATGTCAAGTGCTTAGGTGTTACAACTTTTTTAAATATTATAAAAGTTAATAAGTCAATTTTTTTATAATTTAAATTAAAAGTATTTTCTGCCCACATACTTGTTGGAAGCAAACACAAACCATTTAGCATCATTCAAACTAAATTACTAATTATTATAACCATTGACTATTAAAAACGCCTTATTAATAACGCTTTAGAATTCCTACATACCACACTAGAATCCCATTTACATAACTATATATGCAAGTAGTTGAACATTTCACAAACATAGGATCCAAAATCAGCCAACCCATTACAAGCCTTCATTAATACCAATATGAGACGATTTATTACATTAGATGCTTTTGGAGCCCAACGATGGTCAGGCTTCGACAAAAGATTTTTCAAATCTCCGTTCTTAGCAACAATCATCAGGCTTGTGGGAACCAAATGTATTGGCTAAGTAAGCTGCTCTTTAATCAAGAAAAAAAATCACCATTCAGTGTTAAAAATTAAGCAAATGAGGCTTATCGTTGAACAAAAGATTTAAACTTGAGACAGACTTAAATCGATGGCTGCTGCTGATTATATTTTAACAACCTTCTTAACAGTGATGCCAAAAATTAAATACAGAACCAATTAACAATAACAAAAGGAATGCCAATAGTTTATATGACTTGCAACACATTGTTAAGCATAATAAAGAACAAACTTGTAACATTGTATAAGCAAATACAAAACAACTCCTGCAAATTTACCTTACTATGACAATGAATGACGTCGAAGATAAACAGACCAAGAAAATTCAGTGCATAAAACATAATTGTCAAAGTGCATTAATAGGTAGCAATAACTTGAAAGTAGATCAGATGTATAAACAAAGACAATATTCAGGGTAAGACAAGGCCTCAGAGGTAGTGACAATTAAAGATATCATCAAGAAAACATCTGATAATACGTGCTAAAGAGTGCATCATTGGCCAAATCATCCCACCCAAAAAGAAAACTATTGCTCCCAACAGAGAAAAATGAAAATATTATATTGCCCTATACTCAAGGTAAAAATACAGCTTGACTAAAATAAACAACTAAAACAATGATATGAAAAGGTGTATATCTAAAATGGGATTAGCAAACAAAAACATTAAACACTAACTATAATTAAAAGTAAAATACAGTAAAGAAAGAAACGACGAATTTCACAAATTCAAAAAACATCAGGGTAATTAGACAATTGTAGCTTCAAAATATTACAGAATCATTTGAAAAGCTAATTAAAAAATGATAGATGCACCTTAAAAACTTTAACCCTAAGAGAGGGTGACGTTTATTTTTTAAGCCACCACATTAAGCATAGAGGAAACTTTCCTAACAGCTCACGTTTTCGTATGTACCATATCTAAAATTCTTTATGCATCAGAGAGATTCCCAAAGACAAATCATCATCCTTTAGATAAGTGCTGATGTCCCTGTCTAATTTATCGTCACTTGCACACGCTAACATGATGGAACAAAATGCAGCATCGTGAAAAACAAGAGTTTCTACAACCCGAAACCGATGTACAATTCAAAGAAGGAGTAACAGGGAAAGTTATTATGCAAACAATATCCATCCAAATTCTAAACAACACAAGAGTTTTAAATTAAAAAGAAAAAGCTCAGAAACAAAAAAATTAAACGCATCAGAGAGATTCCCATTAGACGAAGTCAACATTCTCCTATGGAGTGCTGATGTCCCTGTCTATTTTGTCGTCATCTGCGCCATAGGTATGGATTTTGAAGGTTAACACAAAACGGCAGAGCAAAGATTAATGCTAGTGCATAAAGTACCGAACGCATTAGCTAAATTAGAGCCACAACATTTCAATCACGAAAAAAGAAAATCAATTGGCAGAAAAATATAAAATAAAATAAAAAGCTTGAACTCTGTAAGTAGTACAAGCAAAACCCTAAAAGAACTTTGATATGCTTTAGATCGAAAACTGGGAAGATAAAGGTAGTGCCTCAGTTGGAAGTTGATGTCATAGAAACAAATCTCGGAGTATATTTAACACCATCATAGGCACACAGCAGAGAAAAGCAATTGAATTGTGAAAAGTGAAAGCAGCGAAGATCTAAGATATAGAGAGGGAAAAAGACAAGAAAACACAATAGGAATTGGAAGAGGAAAAGGGAAAACCCCTTGAGAGCTGTCGACGCTGCTGCTGCAGATGCTAGGGTTTTGGATCATGGCTTCGTGTATTTATAGTGAGAAAGAGAGGCATCGTAGAAATTAGGGTATATGAGACAGAAGCTAAACATAATGACCCACATGGGATTTAATTGGGCCTGCATAGCTCCGGCTACATTCACACTGTTACAATTGGTCCATCACTTTAACACTTCCTTAGTTTTTTTAGCAAGATTTTTAGCTTGGGCTTTCACCCTCAAACTCACCAAAAGAAACAAGTTTCTTAGTAAAAAGGAAGCAAAACAAGTGAGTGGATTTTTTTTTTTAAAATACTAATTTAGTTATTTTATTTAATTAATATAAACTAATTAAAATATTATCTTTCTTCTACTTCTCTTCTATTTGAATCTTAACAAACAATTTCAATTTTTACTCCATTTCCTACTTAGTTCACTTATCTTCCTTTCTCTTCTCTTTCCTTTTTTTTTTCCCCTCTATTTATTTATGTTTTATCAAATATAGTGTAAAATTAACTTGTATCTCTGTTGAGAAAAAAAAAATATCTGGTGGTCCAACTTCATTACACATGCCCCGTTTGTTTTGTTTAAAGAGAGTAACGTTATATGGTATTGGTACGAAATTATTCTTTAAGAAAAACTACAAAATGCATTTTAACATAAATTTTGATTACATTTGATAAAAATCAGGAGATAACGGTTGATTTAAATAAATTGTAATTTTGTTACTCAGTGTTTTGTATTATTAAGCTTGTTGAAATTGTGAGAGAAAAAAATATATTAACCACACTCTTTTTGATATTTTGTTACAAATATTATCTATTATAAATTAGAAGTTATAAATTTTAATGAATCTTACTATTAAATAAATAAATAACTCGTTAAATTAGATGTAACACCTGAACGTACATACATACAACAACTTATATTTGATATAATGATTTCACTTATGATAAAACACTCATCAAGATAAGGATTTTTCAAAGATGAAGTCAATATTTTGAAGATCTCACCTAAAGTAGATCAAAACAAGATCCACATTTATCACATCAGAACAGGACATCAGATTGAAAATCAAAATAAAACTTCAAAATGGTTCCTCAGAACAAAGTTTCAGTTGACATGTCCTTTTTAAAAAATATTTTTAACTTGCAGCCAAAGTCTTCTTCCTAATGATAGAACCACATATCAAAATAGACATTCGTCACTTCCAAAACATTTGAATCACTTGCCTCTATACTACAAAAACAGACTCACCCCATCCCTTTTTTCCTCAATCTTTCAACTTTCATCTCTCACAACTGTCTCGCATTTTACAATTATAACTTATCAAAATATATTAAGTTTATTTTTATAGAATAATTAAAGTATCTTTTAAAATTTGCCTCTCCCTTTCCACAACTACCCTAGTAATCTAACATATGTTACAGTTACTTTTAAAAAGTATTATAGCAAAAAATTCTTTATTTTTTAGTTTTTTTTTTTATTTTATGCATTAAAAATAAATAAATTTAAAAATTCTATACAAATTACTTTACAAAATATTTTTTTATTTATTACAAAAATATTTTTCTTTACATATTACAATTTAAAAATTATAATTTTTAAATTTTTACCCTAATTTTTTTTACCTTAAATATGTTTTTAGTGGGACAAAATAAGCAAATTTTGATTTTGTTCATATAATTTTTTATTTTTATTTTATTAAAATATTGATTCTCATCCAATTCAAAATTTTTAGCCTAATTTTCCATTCAACGTGTTAGTTCTCATGTGATAAAATTTTGTCTATTTAAAAGGGACTTATGGAACACCAAACAATTGAATAAAAAAAAAGTGCAACTCATGGTACACTTCCTTTATCCAGGAAATTCACTTTCTGTTTCATCCCTTTGAGTAAAAGAGAAAATTATTTTTTCCTCTATACATTTGAACTTTATTGTGTTTAACACATAGAAGTGTGAGACTATTTTCCTCGGTGGAACCCTTGTCAAGGAGGGAACTTGTAATATGTGCAAACATTTACAATAACAAAAAAAAATGTTGATATAATTCTAGACCTAAACTTGTGCGAGGTGTTGTAGTATACGATATGCTGTGAGTGCACTTTGCAAACTTTGTGTTTGGGAATATTTGTAAGAGTGGTGTACTTTGTGCTATGAACAACTAGGAAAGGTTGTAGTTGTGTCCCAGTTTGATTGTTGGAGTATGTTTTAATAGGAAAAAAATATCTCATTAATGTAGTAAGGATTGAATGTAGCTCTAGATTTAGGATGAACAAGTCGTGTCTTTCTTTCTTCTTCCTTGCACTTTATTGTTATACTAGAGGAGTTTGGTAGAAGGCCAAAATTGAGGACTCCTCACCATATACCAATGATTAACAAAGTTTAAGGAATTACTAAAGGTATGACAATTATTAATGAGTCTAGGTCTAATAAAGTTAATATAAATAATGACGTGTAAAGAGAAAAAAAAATATTTTTGTATTTATTACAAGATTGATTGCACTGATTTGTCGAGATCTAAAGATTAACTATAGCATTGAAGTGTCTTTTGCAGATATATTTACTTTTTTTTCCTTCAAATGGGTATTATCGAAGACTACCTCGTTTATTATCAAAGAAATGGGCAATATATTTTGAATCCTTTAGACAAGATCAACTGAAGACTTGGAAAAGACCAAAGTGAGGACTACGAGAACAAAGACGAAAGTGACAAAATTACTAATATGCCCTCATGCAGGTGTAATTGTCTTAATTTATTGAGAACTAACACTTTGTTTTGTAACTAATCACTTATAAAACAATATTTTGAACCAATATAGTGAGCATATATGATAGAATTAGCTTCAATGATGATTGGTGAATCCTCTAACTTTTTCTTACTTCCTTGATCTTTCATCCACAAGGTCTTTAAAGAAGACACTTGAAAATGATGAAAAAATATAGAGACGACGATGCCATTTCCAAATAAGAAGATAAGCCAAAAAGGTTTTTCACCATAAGAAAAGAATCATTGATAAGATATTTAAATAAAGTTGCACTAAAAATAACTCTTAAGAGTCTTGAATATGAGAAAAAAAATCAACCTCACATCTCATATATTTCAAAAAGTGACGAGTTATGTCCATGAAACTCCTATATATAGTTTGGTATCTTATAATGTAAGTTAAGATAACTAAGGTTAGATTAACTTATACTCAAGTCAACTAATTATAGTTCAAATTTGAAATTCAATTTTGAATTTTCCTCCAAAAAAGATGTCAACATCCTAGATCTAGAATAGCAAATGATAATTTGTCACATTACAAGGTACAAAAGGTGTGATGGAGAAGTGTTAGTAGAAAATGGGTTGTAAAAGTAAATATGTAAAAAGTGTGATTAGTGCATAAAACATGTGACTTGTTTGTGATGTGTGAACCAATGAAAGCATATGAGACCTATAAGTGGACATCCACTTTGAGTAATAATGCTCCCCACTCTCTCCCGACCCAAACAAATTCAATGAACACATTTTTTAAATACTAATCACACTTCCTAAAATATTATTTATATTTACACCCCTAAAAATAAAATTATAAAAAAATAAGTTTTTAATTTATTTGACTAAAAATACAAGGTTAAAAAAATTATATATACAAAAAAGACATGGACCGTAAAAGTAACTTATAACTCAAAAATAAGTTTAATCATCTTATCTTCATCTTTAACACATTCCTCATGCATCCTATTTAACGTAACTCTTATGATAGGACCTTTGATACACAATATATCATTAACATCAATATATTAATTA